CCCTCCCCACGGGTGCCCCGAGTGGCCATCGCGGTGTCTGCCCCCTCCCGCGCGCCTCCATCTGTTTCTCGGAGCAAGGAAGCGTGGTCCGAGGGGGCCACTTCCGCTCCCTAACCCCGAGTCCCTCGCCAGGAATTCAGCGGCTCCTCTCCCAAGCGGCGGAGGGCGGAGGACAAAGACGAGGGCATCGGCTCGCCGGACATCTGGGAGGACGAGAAGGCCGAGGACCTGCGCCGGGAGATGATCGAGCTCCGGCAGCAGCTGGACAAGGAGCGCTCGGTCCGCATGATGCTGGAGGAGCAGGTGAGGAGCCGCGGGAGGGCTTTGGAGAAGGGCGGGGGGGGTCAGGCCGGTGCGGCAAGGAGAAGGGGTGCCCGTGTGAGGCCAGCTTGCCCACCTCCCCCTTGGACCCTCGGCTAGCCAAAGGCAGGAAGGGCGGCCTCCGGTGCAGGTTTTGTAAGGGCAGGCCCAACGGGGGCACCTGTTTCCCCGGGAGGGGGCTCTCTGACAAATCCAGGCCCTGCAGGTGTAGGGAGGTGGTGGGTTGGGGTGCTAAGGAGAGAATGCTGTGCACCCCAGGGTGTGGGGGGACGCGCAAAGGGCCGGGCAGGCTCTAAGGGGCGGTATGTCCCCTTGTGTGTGTGGGGGGGGAAGGAGGCGTGGAGGGCCTTTCCCAGCCAGTGACGGGGGTGGCCTCTGCCTTCTCTGCCTGGGGTCTGGCAGGTGCGCTCGCTGGAGGCCCACATGTACCCGGAGAAGCTGAAAGTGATCGCTCAGCAGGTGCAGCTGCAACAACAGCAGGAACAGGTGAGGCTGCTGCACCGGGAGAAGCAGAGCCACGCCCAGGTGAGTGGGCGCCGCCCGCTCCTGCCTCTCAGGCCCCCGGCCCCTCCCTCCCGAGCCTGCTCGGTCCCCCTTGGCGGCCCCGATCTCGCGTGTTCGTCTCAGGTGAGATGCCGCGGCACGGTGGCCAAGGGAGGTCGTCCTTAGTGTTTCCTTCTGGGCGCCTGGGGAGCATCTGGGCCCCCTTGTTTTGCCCCTGGGGAGCCCTGCGGCTCAGGGCCCGCCTCCCACAGGGCACTGCCTTTGAGCCATGATGGAAAGAGGAACGAAAGAGATACCCGAACGCACGGCTTTTTGGGGTGTGGATTCTGTCAGGCGTGTCGTAGTTGGAAGTGGCAGCCGAGAGGAAGAGGGACAAGAGGCCCACCTGGTTCTCTTGTCCACCTGGCCTGTGCCGTCCCCGGTGGTGGTCAGAGACCATCACAAGTAGCGGGGGGTGGCGAGAGTGTGGGTGGAGCTGGGCAAGAGAGGCGGGTGGTCTTCTCGTCCTCACTCTAGCCGCCCGCCTGGCTCTCCCCACCCCCTCCGCCCATCAGTCCCCGGCATCGTCGTCGTCCTGCGCTCCCTCTCCCTTGTCTCCCAACAGGTAACAGGGACTCTCTCTCTCTCTCTCTTTCCTCCCCCAGCTCTTGCCCATGCATGGCCCCCCCGCGCCCACCCACCACCCGACTGTGATCGTGCCTGCGCCCCCGCCTTCGCACCACGTCACGGTGGTGACCATGGGCCCCTCCTCTGTGATCAACACTATCTCCACGTCCAGGCAGAATCTGGACACAATCGTTCAGGTGAGTGGGGGGGGGGACCAGGGTGCTGGCCTTGGGTGCTGCCTGCCTGGTCATCTTTCCAGTTTTGCCCTTCACGTGTCTTTTGGACCCTGCTCGTGACGCTGGGGAAGAAAAGTGTCGCTGGTTTGCTTTTCAGTGGAAGGAACTTGCTGGTTGGCCCTTTTCGGGGGGGGGGGGGAGACATTTCTTCGGGGGGGGGGGGTGGCTTTGGGATTCACCTGGCC